AAATAAATACCTGTGAAACTGACCAGTGCCAAGTTACTTCTCTGAAGAAATTTTGCACTACAAGTAGCCTTAAAAATCCTTTTGTACACTGCTTTGTTCACAGGGACAGGAATAAAAGTTTCTTAATAAAAATGTCAGACTACTGTGGCATTCAAGTAATATAGATGTGATCCTTCTCCTGCCAAGATAAAGAAAACATTTGATTAACTGGACATAAGAGCAGAGCCAGTGTACTTCAGTCCTGAATGTCAAATTACTATTCTGCTAATTTCCCAGAGGAGTGCTCTTAAGCCTTATTATTAAATGGATCATCGTAAGAACTTGACAAGGGCACAAAGAAGTGTTTGTATTTATTGAAAAGAACTAAATTTGAATTGTGACAGTGTTATCTTTTCTTGTATTTCCTAATACTAGTTTGTAATGAAAAAAAGCACTAAATTTCAAAGATTTTTGGATATTTCTTTTCAAAACCAAAGAAGATTAACAAAAATATCTTATAGTTATACAGTACTTACAACAGTGATGCTAGTTGTACCACTAATGCACAGCTTTTGGAAAAGACTGTGACTGCATCTTCCTGTCACTAGTAGTATTCTTTCTGGGGAAATAATATTTTTGACAAAGTATGCATCAAAATCAACGGGTATTTCATCCAAGAAGTACCATATTTTTACTATAAAACGAGGCAAAGTTTGTTGAGGAGACCAGGAGGTCATGATAACCTTTGGAATATAGCAGATGTCACTATTTTTTTCTGAGATTGCAGAGTTTTAAGGTGCTGTGGTTAGACTTGCCAATTTAGATAACTTCATACCACAGTAGGACAGAGAACATCTTAATGGCATAGGACAGTGCATTATGAACGATCACAGGGCAAAACTGTCCTTATTGAATGGTTGGAAAGAAGATGCTTGTGCATTAGAAAAACAGTTTGAGAGTGGTACAGGCATGTGTGCACATAGTCATTTATCATTTCTCACTTCCTAACATTTCAAAATTTGCAATAAGCTTCCTGGTCATATGTGGGAGTAACAGTGTTCAGTGGTGTTGTCAGGGGCAGACACTTCAGAAGGGTCTGTTTAGGCTGTATTCCTTTGTCACTGGCACAGTATGGCTAGCTAATCATAGCAGAAATATATATATATTGTTCTTTCTGTTTCTGACTTTCATTTCTCTTCCTATCAAAAATCACTTTAATTGAAAATGAACAAAAACAGCAGCTCTGCCTGCCTTCATTGGAATGGCAACACTTAACCAATTACACTAGCATCAAAACCAATCCATTTCAGGAGTCTCCATTAGGTAGCGCGTGTAGCACGCCTTAGAAAGTAAGGTTTGTTTGTTTCTCATTCAAAAGCATACAAAAGATATTAAGCAAAAGAAAAATCTGATCTTAGAGCTTACAAATGATACATCATGGTCAAAAATTGTCCCCAACTTTACCTAATAACCTTGATAAATGACTTCCATGAGTATCATCATTTTACTTCAGCCTGTGAGGGCAGTAAAGAAGAGGTTTGTCTTGTACCAGAACCACTGCATTAAAGCTGTTTTTGGGTTAATTTTTTTTTTTTTTTTTACTTCCAGACACTATCAGTATATTTTATTGCTAGGACTTTTCATAATAAATTGCATAGGCATAGTTTGGTTTTCATCAAATTCAAAGGATAAGTTCCTGGGTCCAACTTTTTTTGAAGGATCCCTTTCTGCAGGCTATGATGTTTACGGCTGTTTATTTTTTATGCTGCAAAGATAAATACTGGGACTGCTGTGAAAAAATGACTTTTTTCCTTCCAAAAGTGCAGTGATAGATGATGGAACCCCAGGGATTACAGAAGGGCTGTGTGATCTATTAATAATATTTAGGTAACATTAATTATCACAAGCATCAGTACAGAGGGAAGTTTCCATGCCACCTATCCTATTTCTCATAAGGAAAGCCAGTGCCTGTCTCAGCATGATTGGTAGTGGAGACTTTTTTTTCCTTACTGTGCTCCTCTTCTTAGTTCTCCCACACCTTCAGGTTAGTGATTTATTTTTCATCCCTCAGGAGTTCACACTGCTAGAAAGAAAACATCGTATTATGAGCTTCCAGGGTGACATGCTTACAAAGGCTGCAAACACCAGGGAATACAGTGGCAATATGGTTTTCCTCTCTGTTTCTCTAGTGGAGTGCTGTTTCTCCACTGTCTGCTCCTCAGTGGTTGCTGCCCTGCCCAGAGCTGGTGCTCCTTGATGCCTGATCAAGGCACTGCAGCTGATGCAGATGTATGGGATATATGCCTCTACCTCAGCTATTGCTGTTTAATAACTCTGGAGGACCACGGTGGCTCCAATCTCTTCCCCTATATAAATATACTGTAGTGTCAGCCTAAACTGAGTTTTTGGTGTGCTGGGATCCACTGGCCTGGGAGTGAGCCATCTGAGGTGATATTATTTTATAGAACTACAAAAACCAAACGTATATTTTCCTCATGTGAGTCAAACCAGAAGAGTTTTAACATCCATCATATATAATTATCAGCTGAGAGGATTCTTCCCCCCATTCTTTTATTAGAAGGGAAGAACCTCTTTATAACTATGTTCCCTTATTATTTGAACTCCCGTGGAACTGGCATCTGGCATTGTCTGATTCCATTCAGCAGATGCTAACAAAACAAAACTTCTACCATCTTAATTATTTACACTTTTCATTACAGTAGTAATTGTTGAATAGTACTTTAACTGGCCTAAGGACTGGGGATTTAATGTACAGTTCAAAGATTGATCTTTATGTGCTTTGTTTTCTAGTGTATTTGTGTATGTACCTGCCTACCTACATAGAACAATGATACCATTCTCACAAAAATGCCACTGCACACTGTGGTGAGATGCATCTTCCCAAGATCTATAGGTATGCACTTAGGAGACAGCATCATGCTGCCAGTCAGTTGTACATGGAACACATAGGAGCACTTGCTTTGGCTCCAACTGGATTAGAACCACTCAACAAGCATGGGGCAGGGAGAATCCTTGTGCTTTGAATTTTTCCCAGACAGGAGAAGTGTTAAATATGCTTCATTTTTTCCTCTCTCGCTCTTTTGGGAAATGCATTCTGACTTAATTTGTTTCTTCTGCTATCTTCTTCCTATGTATTCTTTGCTGATAATTCTTTGCAGGTAAACTGGCTGCTGAAGGAAGATGGAAGGTAGGGAAAATCATTTACTTTTATCTAACATGTCAGAGGAAAGATGGTGACATTTTGGAGACGTCAAACTCTAATGAATGTGATTGTTCTGTAAATAAAAGGTAAACACACATTCTCCCACCACTGACTGTAAACAAATTGTGAGACGTCACAGGAATAAAGAAGTTGTCTTCATTTAGTTTCCTACTGCCAAATTACAATTTCGTGTTTGGATCAGTATAAATAGTGGGGGCACAGATATTAACTCCATCCAGGCAAATGGACAGGGCTCATAAAATCACTGGCACACAGAGTAATCTTTGTGAGCCTCTGAAACTTACCCAAAGGACTTATCCAAATGTTTCTGTGTGTCACACACAGTAAAAGTGAGTAGAATTTAATCTAAAAAGAGTCATCACTGAATAAAACATTATATTATAGAAACAGTCCTAAACGTAGCAGGAAAAAAATGGTTGAAATTCTGAAAGTATATAAAGAAATGAAGAAATTAACTATGAATGACCTACTGTAGGTTGTTAGGAGATAATAATCTGCAAAATGCAATAGTCAGTGTCCAGGCAGAAACTATTTAAGTGTATCACTAGTGAAAACAAAGAACAGTGGGTTACTGGGAACTAGACTTCAGGGAAATACCTTAATGACAGAAACAATGATATTACCAACTAGTATGTAATAATCTCCTTACCCGATGACAGCCTGAGTCTCAAAGGTCTCAAAACTGTAACATTAGAATAATTTGAGTGTTCCTTCAAATAAAAGAACTGCTCCCATTCTTAATGACTATCTGGAAAGAAAGTATCCCAAGGCAAAGAAAAAACAAAAACCCAAAAAATATAAAATCACGAGCCTTCCCATCCACTCATTTACAAAAACAATAACCTCATTTTTCAGACTGGAAATGCTATATTAAAGAGACTATCAGATTGGGAATTCAAATGGAGAAAAAGAAAGAATCACCAGCTAGACCAGGGGAGAAGTTTGACAGCTGAAAACTCAGAGTTGAGGCTTTGTACACTTATTGAACCCTGAGGGCAGAGGTGGGTTATGAAATTAGAGTAACCCGTGGGAAATATATGCGTATATATAGATAATTTTTTTTCCCATTGCTATGAAATGTATTGTGACCTAGGGAAGATGCATGTGATTTAACTGTGGAAGAAAAAAAGACCGATCTGGTTAAAAAGGAGATGATGAAGTTGGGGCTGACAGCATGTGTGGGTATGTGCACCTGGGCAGGTGTATCTTAAAGCTGTTGACCTAAAGCAAAAGGATCATCTATGATGAAATGCATCAAGATTTTGCTTTCTGGCAAAAGAAAAGAAAAAAAAAAATCCTTCTCTCTTCCCATTTTCTTTTTCTTTCCACTATTAGTTTCTTAGATAATGAAGTCTTACGCTGCTCAGAAATGTGCTGCATGTTCATGGGAGCCATTAGTGCAAACACAAAGGCATAGCTATATGGAAGTTCAAGCCTGGCTGAAAGTTCCATAAAATGACAAGCCAGAGTGAAAATTGGCTAAGGTAATCAGAGATGTGTTGTATTGGGTAAACAGGGTGAGACAGAAACAATCTCAACAATAATATCTGCCCCCCAAACTCATTTCAGGGAATGGGACAACCTGGGAAGAAGCAGCAAAAGATGTTGTAAAGGTTTTGAAAAACCTGAGTTAAAGAGGAAGGGAAAAATATTTTTCTAATCCCATCCAGACTTTCTATTAATTTAGAAAACAGTCAAAGTTGGCACTGAAGTAGTCTCAACAAGTAACTTAGTAAAAGATATGTATTTTATTATAATTAGATGTATGGTTGTTAATACTGATAAGTCTAGATATTCTCACATTTATGACTCATGTTATATTTTGTATATTTCCAAAGTACAGACTGGCAATATTTCAGGTAATGGAATTTGTACTCTGGTTTTGTACACTGGGCATGATTTCCTATGTGCAACAGATAGAAGAACATTATAATACACTCATACAGTCTGGCCAATGCACATGCAGCCTTAGAACTACCCACTCACATGAGATGCTACTAATCACAACCAAATCAGACTAATTAAGCTTAATACAGTTCATACAGCTATATGCATTGGTATGCACGAAAGGCAAATTATTTCATCTTGAGGCTCATAAAATTAAAGTATTTGGCAACATGGCATAAGGGACATAAGATCAGCTTTTATGCTGTTGTTAAGGAACCCATAGAGGACGGGATTCAAGCAGCAGGACATCATGCCAAGTAAATGACATATGCAGTACACTAATTTAAAATGTCTGTTAGAAATGAGAGTGGCATTAAAATCCGTCACAATGTGGAAAAGGTGAAGAGGCATCCAACTAAAACCAAAAACTAGGATTAGCACTGTCAGTCTGCAAAACACTCGCCTGGATCTTGTTTTAATTCTGATGATGGATTGGGATACCGTAATCGTGTCCTGGATCTCTGTCTTTTCCTCTGGTTTCATCTCGAAACAGATTGGTACCCCTGGGATGAATTTACTAGAGGAAGAAAGCTGGCTTTTTTCTGTGCCAGAGGTTTCTGGGAGGTCTCTGAAATCAGCATCCTGATGCTGCCTTAAAATAGCTGGCATCACAGTTGATGTCTTTTTGCTGTACCTTCTATGGTGCTTTCGGAACAGGGCACAGCTCCAGCTGGTGTGGCTGGAGGGCTGTGCCTCAGTGCCCGTGCTCTTGGATGGGTGAAGGGTGAGGTTTATCATCTCTTTTTCTTGGAATTTGCCCTCTTTGCTGGACAGCCGGGAACCTACACTCCTGCAGACACTGGTGTGACTAGCAGTTAAGCATACCAGTGGCAGTATGTACTGCATGAGCAGTAAGGATATGGTAAAGGCAATTCTGTATGAGTCAGAAGGCCACGACTCAATACACAAGAGCCTGTTCTCCAGTGCCTCTAAATTGAGGCTTTTGTGGAGGTCCACAATTCTGTGGAAAACTGGAAGAGGGGAGCAAATGGCACAGCCAACGGCCCAGATGATAACTATTAAGAAATAGCCGTGCTTTGCCGTTAAGCTGCTGGACAGGGGATATTTTATCATACGGTACCTGACTGCAGCAATAGATATTAGCATTAAAGTTGAAACCAGAACGGATGTACACTGGAGGAAGGGCATTACGTGGCACATAACGGTGCCAAACATCCACCGGTCAAGCAGGACAGACGTCAGCGTGAAAGGAGAACAAAACAGCACGACTAAGATGTCAGAAAAGGCCAGGTTACCGATGAGGATGTTTATTATTGTCTTCTGCTTGCGTTTTGTTAGAGCTGTTAGTACAAGCAGGTTTCCCACAAAGCCAGCCAGACTTATAAGTGTGTACAGCCCAATAAGAAAGTACTGTATGTCATCGACACTGCTCTTGTAGTCCTCCCAGGCAGAAAAATTCTTTGTAGTAGCAGAAGTGTTCTTGGTAGGTGTCCTGTTGGTATAGTCTTTGAATCCTAAATCCATTTTATAGTCCTGCTTAGAACAAGAAAGGCATTGATTAGCAACTGAAGGAAATATGATACTGATGTACAGTAGGCTGTAGAGAAATGTAATTTTACTTTGTATCACCTTAATGCAAGTGAATTATTAGAGGTGTTATCATGCTGTAAGGCAATGGCATAACTTTGGGTTAATGCAAATTCCTTTGGTAGGTTTTATCATATGGTATTCAGTGCATCTAGATCTAGCAGCTGTCTGCTCATATCAAAGTCCTGAGGAGGGACAGATAGCGACAGGACGAGGGGAAATGGCTTTAAACTGGAAGAAGGTAGATTTAGTCTAGATAATAGGAAGAAATTCTTTACTGTGAAGGTGGGGAGACACTGGAACAGGTTGCCCAAGGAGGCTGTGGATGCCTCCTCCCTGGAAGCATTCAAGGCCAGGCTGGATGGGGCTGTGAGCAACCTGGTCTAGAGGGAGGTGTCCCTGCCTATAGCAAAGGTTGGAACTAGGTGATCCTAAAGGCCCTTCCAACCCAAACCATTCTATGATTAGACAATTACAACTTTAAAGACTGGCATTATGAAGCTGGTTTTTAGCTATGCTTTGCTATAGACCATACTGCCAGGCTATTCGTGAAGAACAGTCAGCTATAGAAGCAATTTACAGCCAGTGAGATTACTCATGTGAATAACAGCTCATTGATATGAGCAAGGAAATTACAAGTACCATCTGGGCATGTGCCTAGTCATTACATGACAGCAAACTATAATGAAAGCACCTGAAAACATATGAAGTTTTGACACACGTTAGCAACTGCTGTAGTATTTCTGCCCTTGCTAGTAGAAAATTGACACAAAGTAGGTAAGAGCTTTCAAAGATGATCAGTTTCTAAGGAGATCTACTGTCAGCACTCCAAGATGGAGTTCCTAATATGGTGCATATACTAGCCATCCTCTACAAAGTATTGAAAATATTTTAACTAGCACTCATGCAGAAGGAAAAACTGTGTCCAAATCACCCAAACAAAGTAATTTTACTTAAAACTGGGAGCATGGTTTGTACTATGTGCAAACCCCACCCAATCATTGGAAAATTTAAGGAATTGCTTAGTACTCAGCACAAAAGCATCTAATACTGAATCCTAGCTCAGCACAAAGTTATTTCACATACAGAATCTTGATGTGATTAGTCTTCATTTTAGGGGAAAAACAGACAAATTCAGTTTAACTTAAAAACCTGCTTATATAAAAGGTTTGAGGTATAACTCCCAATAAGTGCCAGCGTCCTGTCCTTGCTTAATGTTTAGAAATCTGAAGACAAAAGATCAAAACAAGACCAAAATACACATTTTTAGGAAATGGCTATATATATATATTTTTTTCCTTTTGAGGAAAGGGCTAAATTTGGCAACCAAAAAAAGGTATGTCTCCTTGGGAATGCAGCTGTTCCCAGTGGACTGTATCATGCAGTCTTCAAAGCACAGTAACATTATTGATTTCCTCTACACTTGCAGCCGTGCTCCTTCCTTTACACCACCAGTTGTCTGCTCCCACTACGTGTTGCCACTGGGGAACTAAACCATCCAATGCCCTCAGAACATTCCTTGACAGTGCTTTGGGATGTAACTTCTGTACCTGTAATCTCAGGTGAGATGAGAAATACTTACTTAAAAATATGAGTGAGATATGGCAAGGTTTTATGCCTTCGCTACAGTGTGAGATCTAAGCCTTGAACTTCTCACAGTGTTGAGCTGAAGTGCTTTTTAAGAACAACTCATTTAACAGATGATTAACACTATCTGAAACTACCCTTGCCTCAACCATCATTAAAGGAAGCAGACTAAAGACTCTGTAAGTGACCCAACGTCTCTCTATTTTGATTCTGATATTACCAGCAGTTTTCAGTTTGGTAGCACTCTCCTTATAGAACTATTAGCTAAAAAATTAAATAGCTTTCTACTATTTTTTTTCTTTTTTTTTTTTCTGAGTCAGTGTCTCTGCGTTGCCAGCAATCATCTGAAAACAAGATGAGCTGATCCGCAGACAACAGTGACTTTCACAACCACCTGAAGTTTCTTTCAATTCTCTAAATGTGAGCAAACTGAGAGAGTAAACTCGAGCAAGTCTGTACCTTGGATAAAATACATAGCCCTACCTCAGCCTTGAGGTATTATATATCTCGTGTCGTATGTCTTTCTTGTATTCAGCATGGAAGATGCATGGCTTTGGATAATGACTGATGTTTTGCTGATTTTGGAGTGTACATGCAGCTGTAACCTGCAGGCTCTTTTTTTTGATTCGTGAAAGCCATTTCGACTGTACATTGCATTTCTATATGAAATACTACCTGACTAACATTTTCACGGTGAACAATCCATTATCTTTGTACGAAAGCATTCATCTTGGCTGAGAAGTGTGTAGGAAAAACCCTTCCAGCTGAGGAGTTAATAATGAAAAAGCCATTGGCGTAAATCTAGATTATTTTCTTTTTGCTTGCCTTCCTTTTGCCTTCCTTTTCCAGTTTATATCTTGCACAAATGAAGAGGACATCGTGAGCTGAACATGTCTTTGACTGCTTGCAGATACAAGACGAAGCAGGAGTTATCTGAGAAAGGGAAATGAACCTTTAGTCAAGAGCTAGACCTGTCCAAATCTTGCTTACTAACCACACAGTCATTTCCTCAGAATAGGAAGACTAACAGGAAAGGGGGAAGGAATCCAGTAGCATCTTAATATTTAAAAAAACCACACAAATTCTTAAAATGCTCTTGAGTTGATGAAGACTTTGAAGGAAGAAGTTTTCCATTTATTTTGCTTGCCTACATATGTACTCTTAGCCAAGGAAGACCATTCTATATTTTCTTCTATTTTAACTGGTATTAGGCTGAAAAAAAAACAGAAAGGAGCTGCAAATGTTTCCTCTCTCTAGAAAAACTGGAGATTGACTGCTTTTTACAGTATCTACAGGTGTTTTTGGTAATGATGAGACTCTCATGGAGTCGTACCCATCCAGAAGTCATACTGACCAGTGACAATGCACTCTGATATTTAGTTAAAATAATAAGTTAATTTAAAATAATAGGCCTCTGAGGACAGTTACATACGTTTGAAAGTTTTGTTGATCCATGTGCCAAAACTGCAATTAGGTGGATGGTTGGACTGGATGATCTTACAGGTCTTTTCCAACCTTAATGATTCTGTGATTCTGTGAATTCCCTATCTAGACTTTTTGGTGAAATTGTCATTGACAGCGTGTGGAAAATTATTTAATCTCCTATATTCAATGGGTGTAATGCTAGGGCTAGGGTCAATGAGCAAAACTTTGCCTGTGTTGTTACACTGGAATATGTTTATTAAATGAAAGTTTACTGGCTTCTTAAAAATGTAATTAAAAGACATTTCTGCCTTCACTTAAATATCCTGCAGTATGGTTTCAGCTCAGCTGCTAATCATGTTTCTAATGCAATTCTTGACAAAACTGTAGGCTATTTTTTGTTGAAGACAAAATATTTTGCTTCAAGGGACCTGCTTCAGCAGGGGGTTGGAACAGATGATCTCCAGAGGTCTCTCCTACCTACTGAGATTCTGTTATTCTTGATTGACACTGAAAAAGCTTCACAGGGGTGCCTATGGAGTCCAGGCAAGGATCACCAGCCATGTCCTGCCTGCACTATGCATGGGGTGAGAGCTCTGTAGGCACCACACATCCTGCCATCCACAAGGAAGGGGCTACTGGCAGCATACATGCCTCCCATATGTTTGATCTAGAGTCCCCAAGTCTAACACTAGCACAACGACGACTTCACAGGGATCTGGATGTTTACTAGCATTTATGTTCCTGCTTTTTATTTATTTTCTTTATTTTTTAGGGATTCATCCACTCTCCTCCCATCAGTTGGCCAACTGCAATGTGGCATGTTTCACGTAGCTTTCAATGTAATGAAGATTCCTGAAAAGCCCATTGTGGGGGATGGAATTAAATGATTTAGCCTCTTTTGATAACGTTGTCCTCATTTTTGAAGTGTATTTCTACACTGAAGGCACTACAGTGCCCAAGTGTTCTTCAGATCAAATTTAATCAGTCTGAAGTTACCCAACTGCAGTTGATTTAAGGTTTGCAAGTGACAGGCAGAACTTAAATCATTTCTCAGTTTTAGCTGAATTAAGATAGCAGATAACCTAAAATGTGCTAGTTTAATATTTTTAATCTTCCAATTTGTCTTATTCCACTTAAAGCTCCTGTTTAAAATACAAGCCCCATAAGCCACCATTCAGCAGAATGAATACACAAGCTATCCCTGGTTTTATTTTACATGCTTAAGGGGAGATTTTCAAGAACATGAAAGTTAGGCAGGCAGTCTCACTCCCCTGAAGGCAAACTGCTCTTTCCTTCAACTCCATGTGTTCTTTATATCAAGGCTTGTTTACAGACAACATCTCATATCCCACAGTGTTAATACCCATTGTATTGTACTGGCTGGTATCAGTACAGTCTGTTCAATCCGTATCAGAGTGCCTGCACAGGACCATTCATCTCCACTGCTGAGAACAATTTATGATCTTGGAAGTCCTTTCTCAACCTTGAAAACAAAGATGTTCAAGGAGAAAGCAAAATACGAAACCTCCCTGTGGAACACGGCCCCTCTGCCCCTGTAATACAGGAATGTGGAGGAAAACAAAGTCAGTCTTTTTCTTAACTCACACAAGGATGAATGAGACAAGCTGTGCCTGCCTGGCCAGCAGAGCTTAAGGGAAGCACTGACCTGAGAGACGATGCCCTCATTTCAGCATAGACTAAATCAAAAACCCCAAATCGAAGCTCCTGAACTCACGTTCACAACAAAGGCTGAAGATTGACTGCAGCTGCTCTTTCCACGCAACAGCACAAGCTGGTCAGGGAACCAGCAGAGTTCTGAAGACTGACATTACTTCACCAGTCCAAAAAACGAGTTGTGGTGCCATGCTATGCCTCTTTATGTGCCCAACTTAAGCAAAGATTGCAGTGCTGGTCTGGAAAAAGAGAACATGGCTTCCCAAAACCCCATCTAACGAGATTATTTCCGCAGCTCCGAGGAAGCACGGGCAGATCAGAAAACTTGCAACGCATTGCTGCAAAACGAACCAGCAGCGGGCAGGACGGGCTCTGCTTTACCATTCCCACATCCCTCTCGAGACCGCCTGGCAACGATGCCTTCCTGGCAACCCGCATCCTGGGACGGGACAAGGGGTGAAATTCCCTGCGCAAAACTCCGCGGCCGTTCCGCGCCCCGCGCCGATGCCGCTCTCACCTGCAGCCGCCGGGAAGCCGCCCCACGCCTCGGGCTCCGGAGAAGCTCATAGCCCCGGGGCTGAGCTCCTCGCCACGTTCCCTCCGAGCCGCTCTACGCGGCCGCGCATCTTACGCGGGGTCTGCAGGAGCGGCGGGTCGGGCCGCTGTGCCGGCGTTGAGGCTGAGGATGCGGCGCGGATGCATTTCGGGAGAGCGTTCCGTGCGGGGCCGGAGCCTAAAATGTCCCTATTGCATGCTATGACAATTAGAGTTTCCATGGAAATACAGTGAGACTGTAAACAAATCCCAAGCTCGATAGTATCGAAGGGATGCATGCTCTTTTTTTTTTTTTATTTTCCCCTTTCCTTCCCTCTTGCCTCCCCATCCCAACACTGTGTTCTTGCGGGCCATGGGGAGGCTTTCCCAAAGCTGGGCCATCTCTAGGTGCTGCCCCGAACACCCTGACCTTGGCTGGAGCTCAGCTTTGCTGGCATTTATCCCCCGTTATCTTAGAACAGGTGGGAGGTGATGGATTCCCCCATCAGTTTTCCGCTCGGAGGTGAGTAACTCAGTTTTCCCAGACACAAATATCTAAAGGGTGGTTTTAATTTGTTCTGGGCCATCAGTGGGAAGGCAGGACGCTTTCCTTCTTTTTTTTTTTCTTTCTTTCTTTCTTTTTTTTCTTTTAAGTGAACGATGTTTTACAGTCTAAAAATGGTTGGGTATGTCACAGCCCAACAGATGAAGAGCAATTCTATCTCTTGCACCAGCTGCTATCTTCGCATTGATCATAGCCCAATTACAGGGCTACTGGAGAACAGAGTGACGTGTGGGTCTCTGGGAGCACAGGTGGCAGAATGTGACACGGGAATGTAATGACTTTTCCATTTGCCGAGGCACTCCTTAGGCAGTTGATATTAACAGAGTACTGCAGAAAAGCTGTCAGTATAATTAGCCGGTGAAAAAGTGCACTACACAAAAGCGTGCCAGCTGGATCAACCGACTTGTAAAATAGCTTCACAACCCTGAAAGAGTCCAGCTAGATTCCTTATTTAATTGCCAATCCAGCTCACATTTTAAGGTGAGGGCTAAGGGAACAATAAAACTTCACTCTTCATGGGATGGGCTCAGTATGGCAAGGAAGATGGCATCCCATATTCTTTTCATCCGCTCCTGCTTTATTCACCACCCACTGCTGGTGAATCATTGCATGTGCAAGTGGAGCACAGGGGAGCTGCCAAGTGGAAGTGACGTGCCAATCCAGCTCATCATTTTAAGACAGCTCTCCTGTTAGTCATAAAGGAGAATTAAATTAATCATTTTTAGGGCTGGGTAGCAGTTCCTAAAATGTTTGACCATCTTCTCATCTAACACTGGTGCTTGGAAAGTTTTCACACTAAAGACAGAAACCCAACCTTGGTATGACCTGCTGTTTAAGACCATCTCCCAGAGCATCTGTTTAGCAGGGTTAGCAGGCTCCCCATTCCAAGGCAGTTTCCCACGCTGCTGACCCTGCTGCTTGACATGGAAGCTCCTTCCTGGAAAGACAGAAGCTTTTGAGGCACTTTCCATGAAAACTTTTGGCTATAGCAAACTGGCATTGCCTTTCAAATCCAAAGAAACCCACCTGCATTTGCTAGCAAAGCCCACAAATGAGAATTTGCATCCCACAGCTATGATTTACATAGGATACCATTGTTACTTGGTATGGTTAAAAAAAAAAAACAACAACAAACCTTTCCTCTGTGCTGACCATTTCTAAGGTAGGTGGTCACCTTCTATGGTTTCCCAAGCAATCACCAGAAATTACACGCTTCCTGGTAAAAGCAGTCAGTAAGACAAGTGGTTACTCCTAAGAACAAAATATCTCACTCCTTTTGTTGTGTTATTTCAGGAGAGTTCATCAACCAGCGATGCACTGCGGGCTTTTTCTTTTTCTTTTCCTTTTCCTTTTTCTTTCCCTTTTTCTTTTCCTTTTTCTTTTCTTTTTTCTTTTCCTTTTTCTTTTTTTCTTTTTCTTTTTCTTTTATTTTTATTTTTAACTTCAGGCCTGTAAACAACACCAGATTTCTCTCAGCTGTATTTGGACAATTAATTGCTGACACTTGTGTATGTCAGAGGCAACTACTATTCAAGCCATTAGCATTTTTTTTTTTTTTCCTTTTTAGTGGTTGTGAACCTCAGGATTGCCAGTAATAGTACTGAATAATAAAATAGGTGATCTAGAGCTAGGAAAGGTACTGACATTACAGATGTGTCAGCACTGGCAACAGATGATGGTACAGGTTCCCTAGAAATTAGTCTCTGTAAGGTTGTTGAAACCATGGAGGAGCCCTTGAGAAAGTCAGAGATGATGATGATGGAGGAGCTGTCAAAGAAAACACCGGTGTATCAGTGGGAGATTTGTGAGTCAGAAGGGTACAAGAGAAAATACAGGACAGAAGTATGCCGTTATAAGGAATACAAATTAATGTTGGCATGCCTCTTCCCTCATACTCCTGAGGGAAATGTACCTTTGAGAGTCATCCTAATATCTTTGAATATTTAGCTTCTAAATGTTAACTGTTAAAGACACGAAGACTCAAAGCTCCAACTGAAGTCAGCGAGAACTGATGAATGCCATTGAAAAATCAAGCCCAAAGCCACCTAACTTCGAAATTCTGCAGTGTGCAGTTGGTTGCCTTGGATCAAAACTGGCTGTGAGTCAGAGTCCAATGTTAATGTGCAGTCTGATGCCAGCAGAGCACCTATCCATCAGCAAGACAGCCTAAAATGGCAGGATGTAACTACTACAGAGTTTGGGGCATTTTGTAAGATACGTATAAAGCATTCTTAGTGGTTGGAACTTTCCCCACGCATCAACCCAGCTATTCATACAACCACAGAGTCTAAAGGGGCCCTTACAGGTCCTCTAATCCAATTCCCCTGCAATCAACAGGGACACCTACATCTCCATCATAGAATCATAAGGTTGGAAACGACCTATAAGATCATCTAGTCCAACCATCAGGTGCTCAGAGCCCTGTCCAACCTGACCTTGAAAAGACTAGGGACAGGGTATCCACCCCCTCTCTGGGCAACCTGTGACAGTGCCTTACCACCCTAATTGTAAAAAAAAAATTCTTCCTTATATCCAATTTAATCTCTCCCTTTTCAGTATTTACCCTACTCATGTTACAAAAACTTTTAAAAAATACCACTCAGACAAGATTAACCACGTAATTATTCATGCAGCTTCTTTATGTTAGTGACATTAGCAGTCAAATGAAGTGTTGTTATGTTTGGTGTCAGTTGCAGTCATTGCAGAATAAACATGCTCTTAGCCAAACAGAGAATTTGCACTCAATGGCAAAACATCTATTTATTCTACTGGTGACAGACTGTTACCCCCAAGGAGAATGAGTTCCCTAATGTGAAATGAAAGCCTTTCAATGGTACCAGAGTTCATTAGTAGAAAACGAGAACAATAAAAATAAGCAATAAAAGTAGAAGCAAAATCAAAGAAACCATACTCCTGTGTTTCCATCCAAAATAGTGGTGGCTTCAGTTCGTTTTATGCGCAGGAGGAACCTTAAAACAAATCTCAAGGTGTTCTTTTACTCTATGGATTTTAAGTTTTAGGGAGAGATTGTGCTGGCTGAACACATGACAATATACTGTAGTGAAAGTGTCATCCTCACTTTATGATCTCTTTTCTTTTACATTTTTTTGGGAGCTGCAGGAAGAGTATCTGAATGGGTTGATTTCCTGGAATATTTTCCCAGGTGTTTCTTCAATATCTCTTGTTTCCCTCTCAACGCCATTGCTTCAAAGAAATGCTCTGTTCTTTTACTCATGCTGTTCTATTTGCTTAGTTAAGATTCTTGCATTCTTTCTATTGTATTTATTCTCTTTTCACGATGTCACATCTTCGTACAAACACCATCTTCCAGCCTGCATTGTCTGTGATGCACTGAAATAACATACTCCAAGGAGGATCATCATCTTCTACACTGTGGCTATTTTGCTATTCTTTTGTCCTGGCCACGATGAGCAACAGAACAAGACTTGCTGAGAAATTACTTGGTGTCTTTGTGAGCTTGGTGCTCCAGTTGGAAATGCTCAACTTGATGCTGGGACTGGGCATGCACAGAAGAGCTAAAAACTCGGAATCACAGAACGGCCAGGGTTGGAAGGGACCTCAAGGATCATGAATCTCCAACCCCCTGCCACATGCAGGGCCACCAACCTCCACATTTAATGCTAGACCAGGCTGCCCAGGGCCCCATCCAACCTGGCCTTGAAGGTTTCCAGTGATGGGGCATCCACAGCCTCTCTGGGCAGCTGTTCCAGCACCTCACCACTCTCTCTGGAATGAATTTCCCCCTGACATCCAACCTAAACTGCTAAAATCTGAGCTTCCTTCACAACTTACCTGATGCTATGTGGCATTCACTGCACAGCGTGCATTTTGTACAGATGTAATGGAAAACCTTTGAAAAGAACACATCTGTTTGTTAGAGTGATTGTTTATCAGCGTGTTTTAATTCTCACATTTATAGGAAATGCTCTGGTGAAGGTTGGTGTAGCTCCAACAAATTCAGTCATCTGAGGTGAGCACAGAGCAGAGGGCAAGTATGGCAGAGCAGGAGCTTTGTAGTAAAACCTTGTTGTGGCACATATATATATAGCATATATGACTGAAAGATTCAGTGACTCACACAGCCCTTTCCATTGTTCCACTGCTCTGCTTGAAGCATCCATCTGCACTGCAAATAACTCCGTGAACGCCTGATCCCCTCACTGTGAGCTCAGGTCACTGAGTGACACACAGGATCTATCTTCAATCTCTCACACTTGATAACTATTTTACATTGTGTGGTCCACATCCATAACAGTGAGTGTCTTCAGCACTCCATGTCTGAAAATGCTACTGGCTCAGGCAGAAATACACTCTTTATGGGATGCTCAGCACCAGCTTATATCTTTGCGTTGTCTGCCTGCATCCATCGCTGTGCTCAGACAGACATGGTGCACAGGAATTAACCAACGTATGTCTGAAATCCTCAAGAGGCTTAATATACAGCCTGCACTTACCTCTTGGTTGGGTCAGTGTCAGCAAAGCCCAGGTTTGGAGCAACCTGGAGGTATGGCCACACTTTCCCTCCTCACAGCGAGGGCTGCAGGTTAGAAACAGTTGAGCTGAGCTTCTGGAAATACAAGATATACACAAATTCTGTAGCATTCCCACGAGACTTACTCTGCAAAACATATTACAACCATTTATTACGTGCAGCTGTTATTTCTTTTTGGTAATAACACAGTTACTCTCTTGAGACCTATCCTCAACATAACAGAGTCATCCTGTAAAAAGGATATTGTAACTTCAACAAGTCCTTACTCTTGAAAAATTAATCTGGAGCCTTGAAGGAGTCAGGGTACTTTTGCTTTCCACAAATTCCAAGCCTGTTTGATGGGGCATTCATACCTGAATTGAGCCAGGTAACTTTTCCAGGAGTTCTGTGCTAGCTTCTAAACCCACTGTTTGTTTTATATATATATAGGCTATTAAAGTAGCTCTGCAGCAGCAGTGCTTTCTGTGCATGAGAGAGCAAGACATTTCAGAACCATGAAAATAATGGAAAATAAAATGTTTGGTTTTTTTTTTTTTCTTTTTTTCATGGAAGTTGTTCAGTAAGCAGTGCACTAACCTGCGATAGCCGCTAGTAGTCTGCAAGGCAACTCATATCGGCTGCATGAAAATAAATCTGTGCTGGTTCAAGTATCCAATGCCGAACTTCCTAACTGCTGCTCCACTTCACTTTCCAACAGAGCTTTTCCTCCGGCTTGACTGGCCACACGGTGGCAATAACTTGCAAACAAAGCGCCGGAGATGCCTGAGAGCGACGTGAAACTCTCTCTCCCGGAGCTCTTTTCTCTTCCCCTCCTCTTTTGTTTCAGGCTTTAATTGCACACATTTCAGAATTACTAGGCAACCCACCCCCAGATGTGTAATTGAAAGGTGATGTGCTTGCAATGAGATTTTCGGGATCTGCTCAGCAGAGCCCCATCATGTGATGCTGGGATGAGGTGGAGTTCGGCTTTAAGGGGGAGTCTCCAGCCTTCCCCACCAATCTTTAGCATCTCAGCTGGAGGAACACCGGAGGATCTTTTCCCTTCCCCTATTCCTTCTCCTCCCTGCAGCCCCCGAGAAGATCGCGGATAGGCGGAGTTGTTACAAGGTGAGTTTCTCTGCGATCGCTTCCCGGTGCCGGCGCTGCTCGGGGCAGGTGACATAAGGTAGGGAGGAGCAGGTGCCAGGCTGGACTTGAGAGCGGCTGGGGCTTGCAGTATTTTGGGCTCCCTTTTGAAAAGCTCCAATAGGTTTTCAGACAGTTCGCAGCACGTTCTTTTACCCTTTCGATCCGTTGGTGCTAAACTTTGGACAGAAATCCTGGAAGGACGGATGTGTGTGGGAGGTGGGGAGATCCTGTGGGTCACAGCAGAGCTCTGCAGAGCTGCCAGTCCCCGGGATGGGGAGGGATGTCCCTGCCGGTAGGGGACAGGGAGCAGCACCGTGCCCCAGGAGAGGCAACTGCATCCCTACCTCGGGTTCCTATCCTATGCCTGGTCCGTTTTGGAAAGGTGGGCAGGACGCCTCGCTGCTTGTCAAACAGTGCTGTGCTTCTGAGCTGGTTCCCTGTGCTTCCACGGCTGGTGTCTGCTGAGGGGAGAGGCAAGGGAAGGTGAGGAGCAGTGGCATTTTCTGGTTTTGAATTTGGTATTTAATAAATAAGCAAAAGCAGAGCTGTGGCCTTAATAAATAAGAAAAAGCAAGAGCTTGAAATCATGTCCTGACCCCATACTTGCTGCAGTGAGACCCCAGCTGTTGAGAAAACCTGCCCACTTTTCCCCTTGCGGGACGTGGTCCTTCTCCCATCTTGCTCCTGCCATCAGCTCTAAGGGCTGCACTGCCCATCTTGTGCTGTACAAGTAACAGGGATGTGATTAAATCCACATGGTGATTTTCAGGCTGGAGTAAAATCAAACCTGTTGGAAATTGAATCCTGACTCTACATCACTCACACGCTTGTCCTTCAGATAAAGCACTTTGCACTGACTCTGGCTGAAGTGATGCTTCAGGAAGCCCTGGGGAAGCCTTTTTATTTGTTGGACCCCGAAACAGTCTACATGGCCTAGGGAGACCTGGTAAATTTAGTTAGCAGAGGCAGCAGTTCTGAGAAATAATTCTCAGCTGCCTGCCCTAGCTAGCCAGAAAATCAGAACAGCCAAACTTCAAGCAGAGATGCTTTTTTCTCCCAAGCCGTTGCTGTTAACTCTGTCAGTATTATGTCACCCAGAGGCAAGCTGTGTTACCTGTCGTGGTTCCATGTAGCCAGGTGGTGATTACAGAGGGCCAGCAAAGCAGTCTGAGGTGATCTTGAGGCACTTGAGACAAACATCATGTCAATATGGTTCTGTTTTCACAGACTCTCGGGAGGAGCTGGAGGCATAAGTCCAGTAGGGACCAGTAACGTGAGAGTCAGCTTAGGTGGCACCTAGATTTATATCCAGTATTTCAGAGCAAAGCTCACGCATTCTCACTTCCACTGAAGCACATTTCAGTGAGCTCTGTTTTCACAGCTTTAGTGATTACTGCCATATGGAGCCAGGTTTAGAGCCCACTTGTGTGAATTTTAAGTGGTATCGCTTTCATTAGCATAACCTGAGGTTAAGTGAGCAATAAATTTAGCATGTAGGAGAGGGTGTAGAGGGAAATTTCCAGACTGAAGGTGGCTGCTGCTAATGGTAAGTTGAACTGGGATCGTATCAGGTTATTTGACTTTTCATTTTTCTTTGTTTTCTTTTTTCCTCCTTAACGCACACGCCTGAGTTTCTCCAATTTTAATATCAGAGGCCTTGCATAGGGGTGGTTATTTAGACATTACTGTTTGTTTTACATGGGTACACGCTCTGCAGTGTTTAATTTTTGCTGATTTTTTTTTTTTTTCATTTTCTCATTTTGTTTTGTTCTTTCTTCATGGTGCAGCTCTGCTAGTTAAGATCGAGGTGTTCAGAGGTCCTGATTTGCCTTTGACTCACTGCTAGTGCTGCTGTGAGCACTCGTGTAAAAGACCAAAGAAAAACACTTTCTGACAACTCAGACACTCAGCATCCTCTGTGCATTAGGTGAAAAAGAGTACAGCAATTTTTTGGTGTAGTTTTTCTACCCCTCAGGTGGAGTTTTCCCCTCTCTTATGTTATAGCTAGGTATAATTGCACTTAGAGCAGCCTGAGAAAGCAAACCTTTGCAGATTAAACTTGTAGAAACGAGATGTGAAGCATCAAACAAAGGCTACCCTGGTGTAAGACTGAAGTTGATTCACACCCTGTCATCTTCTGTCACTTGTGCTTATGAGGCAGTGCTGGGAAGGGCTGTGCCTGCAGACCCACGTTTAGACTCTGGTTCCTTCCTTTCCCTGTCCTGCAGCTCCTGCTCTCTCTTTGGATACCAGGCCATGACCGCCATTCCCACAGGCCTTCCCCTCTGGCCTGATCCATGGCCCTGAAGTCCAGTGATGCCAGGGGACTGGTGTGCTGAGGGTGGGTGACAGTCACAGCAGGGTTTTGGGCTGCTGGGGTAGCCTACATGCAGGAGGTGACCGGTCCTCCTCCTCCTTCCCCCAGGTCTTGCCATGGAGATGCGGCATCGAGGAGTGGGCTCTGCTGAGGAGCTCCTCGTGGGCTGACTGACATATATTGAAGGTCAGGAGTGGTTTGGATGAGACCTGTGGCAGCTGAGAATATTAAACAGCGAGCTGGAGGAAAAAAAAAAAACCAAACAACATGAATGCTTCGTTTCTTGATCCTCTGGAAAATAATTCCAGACACTTGAACTTCTCGGAGAAGAACTCGCAACTCTTGCAGTTTGAAGATGAGGACTGCCACGTGCCTTTGGCCATGGTCTTCACCTTGGCCTTGGCTTACGGGACCGTGATAATTCTGGGAGTCTCTGGGAACCTGGCCCTGATCGTCATCATTTTGAAACAAAAGGAAATGCGCAATGTTACTAACATCCTCATTGTCAACCTGTCCTTTTCTGACCTTCTAGTGACCATCATGTGTCTTCCCTTTACCTTTGTGTATACTTTAATGGACCACTGGATTTTTGGGGAGGCCATGTGCAAATTGAACCCTTTCGTGCAATGTGCCTCAATCACCGTCTCGGTCTTTTCTTTAGTTCTGATTGCTATCGAACGCCATCAGCTGATCATCAACCCCCGTGGCTGGAGGCCAAACAACAGGCATGCCTACATGGGGATTGCTGCCATATGGGTTTTGGCCACGGCTTCCTCCTTGCCTTTCCTGATCTACCACGTGCTGACAGACGAGCCCTTCAGAAACATCACATTTGATGAATATAAGGACAAATACGTGTGCCTGGACCTCTTCCCCTTGGACACTGCCAGGCTTTCTTATACCACCACTCTTCTGGTGATTCAGTACTTTGGACCGCTTTGTTTTATATTTATTTGCTACTTAAAGGTAAGAGAGAGCTCCCTCTGTGATATATATACTTTTTTTTTGTCTGATGTTTGTTTATCTTAGCGATAGCTATGGTTGTAGGTTAAATTATCCCACGCGTTTCTCTTTGTTGAATTTCCCACAGATATACTTTCGCTTGAAAAAAAGGAGCAACATGATGGACAAGATGAGAGACAGTAAGTACAGGTCCTCCGAAACCAAAAGGATCAACATCATGCTGATCTCGATCGTGGTTGCCTTTGCAGTTTGCTGGCTTCCTCTCACCATTTTCAATATCGTGTTTGATTGGAACCATGAAATTCTGCCCGTTGCTACCTGCAGCCACAATCTGCTGTTCTTGATCTGCCACCTCACTGCCATGATCTCCACCTGCGTGAACCCTATTTTCTACGGGTTTCTCAACAAGAACTTCCAGAGGGACCTGCAGTTTTTATTTCACTTCTGCCACTTCCGCTCCCGTGAGGAAGATTATGAGACTATAGCCATGTCCACCATGCACACAGACGTCTCAAAAACCTCTCTAAAGCAGGCAAGCCCAGTCGCATTTAAAAAAATAAATAGCGATGATGATGACAAAATATAAAGAAGTAATAATAATTCTACACCAAACCTTTGAAAGTTCACCCGCAGGTGAAATGTGCCCAAGGACAAGCAGAATTATGTAACAAGTACAAAATGGGTAACGCTTTTCTTCTTTTTCCAAGGAACTTTGATTGTTGTCACTTTGAAATTTTATGCTGTGCATTTTTGCCCCTTACGCTGCTTTAATGTTCACAGCAGTTATATCTGAATCTTATTATTAAAAAGTAGCTGGACTTGCTACTGCCTATGGTTTTCATCAACTTTCTCCTGTTCTGTTTCTTTGTACAGTTATGTACTTTAGCACAAAGATACACTTCTTGATTTTTTTTTTTTTAGATTTTTTTTTTTTAAATTATTATTTCTTTCCCCCATATAAGTAGTTCTCAGGATTGTCCACTTAAGACCATTGCGATATGAAGCTCATATGAACTGCAGGGAGGCTGTCACTACAGAGGACACCCATCCCAACATAAAATTAGGACATTCTGATTGGAAGATTGTTTGTTTTTGTTGTTTTTAATCTGTCTTTTGATGAATTTTAAAATCCTGTGAAAGTAGTGGAGGCGTGGACAAAATGATTCTGAGAAACCCGTAGATCACGTTAAACAGGGACATGCCTTTGTCTCATTCAGAGAGGCAATTCAGGCTGTAATCACTTTGGTTCAAAGGCAGGATTAGGAGAGAAATTCTGTTCTCATTTACGAGAATAAAGCTCTGTGGAGTAATTCCACAGAGTACAATGGGATAACTCTGGTTTTCACCACAGCAAATGAAAGCACAAATGGGCCTTTAATCCCAAATTATTACAGCTGATTTTAGTAATGCAGGCGTTTTTAATTTAAAAAACCCAAACCCCATTTTCATCTGCCATCACTGGAAGACTGGGATGAAATCTGTTGCCAGTCCCAAGCCTATGAACCATGTAAATTCTCCTTATGTCCTATGTATGAATGTCAAGAATCTGAAGGGAGGTGGCAATGTTTGCTTTCCGTACAAGGTGTGATTCTATCCTTGCAGATGATGTTACGAGTCAGGTTTGGGATTAAAAAACAAAAAAATAGCTGTAGCTACCTGAATCGTCTCATAATAATTAGTGCTGATCTGTATAAATGACGTATAGCCTCACTATATTCTGTGTTCAGATGCAACGATATAAACCTGGATTATCTCCAAGGTGATGGATGACTTGGAACTTAAAAGAAGGATATAGGGTGTTTGCAATTGGTACGTTTTGCTTCCAAACTCACAGTTTTCACAGTTGACTGAAGTGTGGGAATATTTGCCAAATGTACACAATAGAGCTCTGTGTGTTACTGCTTAAAATATATATCCTCTAATTACACAAAATGTACGTGACTAGATCCCCAGCTGAGGGAAGCCTGTATGACTTGGCTGCTGTAAATGAAACGATACCAATATCAGCCAGCTGAGGCTCTACGTCATATAGTGTACTTTGCTATCTAATCAATGCCTTTTCAAATAATCAGCTTTTTAAAATACAATACAGTCTTTATTTAGCAATATCGCTTTGTACCCTTCCGACAGAGAAGAGTGTCTTTAAAATAGGTGTAAATGTAGCATCAATGGGAACCAAATCTGATATCTTTCAGATCTCAAAAAGATCTCAGGATGTGATGGTGAATTTGATACTCTCTAAATTTGACATGGATAACTGTCTAAGAAAGGAAGATTATTTGGTTTGCCAGCATTTAAAAGTCCAGAACTGTGCCTTGTGCAGTCTTAAAAACAGTGTAGAATATTAAAGTAGCAATGTGTTCCTGTGCATTATAATTCCATGTATTTCTTTACTGACAGATAATTTAATTAAAAAGGAAGTTTCTGTACTTAAAAATAGAGAATGTATAAAATGAATTATATGACAGTGCTTTCTTTCAGAGCCTTGCCCTTTTGTATTTTATGAGATCTCCCTTTTCTGCTGGCTCTTTATGGAGTGTGTTGCTACTGTGACAAGAGGCTCCTGAAATTATTCCCCTGTCACTTCACAGTAATTCTGTTATACCAAAGGGTGTGTATTTCCACTGAGATGCATTGTAGAAACCCAGCTCTGTTCTTCTGTTAAGGATGTCACACCACGATTTTCCCATTAGAAAAAAAAAAATAATCACGATGTATTTTGATTATTATTATTGTTCCCATTTAAAAGAGATTAAAAAAAAAATAAATCATCCCTTTCTTCGAATCCGGTGGGAGAAGAAAACAAAATTGTTTGGGGAATTTTCCAGTTAGTTTGTTGGAAACACTTCATCAAGCTGAATTAGAAGCTTACACACGGGAGCTGTTGGTGCGACTTTAGAGGTGGCTGCTGGTGCGTGGAGATTCACAGGTCCTCAGTAGGACAGCAGCACAGTTAGTCCCACACCAACCTTTCTCCTGCTGGGGGTACTGCCTCAAATCACAGCATCCGTCTCCTGAGGATGTTTGTCTGGGGATTTTTACCCTACTGTCTGATAATCCAGTGGGAGCTGTGCCAGCAGGTGCAAGCTAAAGCATCCCTTCAGCCCACCTGGGTGAAGCTGCTGCACTGCACCCTAGGATCAGGCATCTTTCCCACGTTTCCTCCCATCCCTGTGAGAGGAATGCTATGCTGCCTTTCCTAAGGCTCCACAAAGATTCATACACACAGCGTGGGTTATGGCTGCCCATGTTGCCAGCGGGAAAACGCATTTGGAGAATTTCAGAAGCAAAATCATTGCTGTTCAAAAGAATCTTTTATGAGAACAAAGATAAAAGAAACCTTCCTGAGGTGCTGACCTGACACCTGCAGGGTGTAGATGACATCTACAGAGAGCGGTATTTTTGTCACAGGTTGTATGACTTGACACTAGAGTCCTCAAAAGCTGCTGGAGATGTTTTTCTCCAGACGCCTGGCTCCAGCACTAATCCCCTTTTTCACTTTCAGATCTCCAGCATGGCTGCTCGTCCTACGTGCTAAGTTTCTATACAGGGCAAATTTTGGGGTTTCATGTTTCTGAATCATTTTTTCAGTCATTCTGTTTTCATATTTGTTCTTCCTATGTGCTGTTTTGTCCAAGTCACTTCAGCACGTACTGATTCCTATCCTAAAAGCCTGTAGACTTCACTTATTTTTTCAGACTGGTAGAAACCAAAAGAATCGGACAGAAACACAATCTGTGAGGGATCTATAAGGTATCCAAGCACTTCTGTGCACAACAATTTCCACATGTATGTTTAAATCCGTCCCCGTTTATTCAGTTTTGATTCTGAGTTCATGTGAATGAACTGAGATGAAACAGCGAAACTGGAGAATTTGCTTAATCATTTGCCTAAGTACTCTTACTGAATGATGATGAACTGCTGGCTGGGACTTCACATTCTTTCCTGAAAAACAAAACAAAGCAGACTTTGGATGTCAGATTATCACAGAAATAAATCTGCATATAGATTTTCCTGGCAGTTTTTCTCTGGATTTTTCTTTGTAGCCCAATGCCTGACAATACCTGAGGTTAATGCCTTGGTTCAACTGTATTCCTCATTTCTTGGTTAAAAGAATTTACCAAAGCAGTACATACATACAGAATGTAGGCATCAAGGAAACTTTATTTATTTTTTTAAAAACATACGTTAGAGTAGAAAATGTGAATTTAAATACCACCTTCATCTGCGAGAGGCTAAAATAAATGGGTTGAGAATAAATAGTGGAGAAATTATAACTAATACAGCATTTTAAAGCTGATGTGAATGAAAATTCTTTTATCCACGTTTTGCAGAATTTCAAGTGTACAAGAGGGAATAAGTATGACCGGTATTAGTCTCTTACACTTTAATTTGCCTGTGGCCCAAAGTAATTTTCATACAATATTTCTGCCCATGCTCAACAGTGTTAATATTCTAATTGAAGCTGAAACTTTGCAGATGAAGGAGGGCATTCACAAAGCTTTAGCTGGAGGATGGTAGTTTCCCTAATCTCCTTTAGTAGCAATTCAAGGGCATGCACACCTGCTCTACCATCTGCCAAAGTGTTTTTCTCTCCATTATCTCCATGTAACACCATGTACATACAGCAGAAGGATGGCCAGCTTCCAGGGCCAGCGCTTCTGAATTCTTCCTCCCTTGTTCCATGCTCCATGGTGTTCCTCACACCTTTGGAAGGCGTTTCCTGAGGAAATCCCAGGAATTTGCACTCTGGTTTTGTAAAGTGCAAGAGTAAAATTCAACTCTGTGAAGGACAGTGCTGTAAGCATGAGCTAAACTTTAAACAGTTCCTTCTACAAAAATTCTCTTCCAGCAGGTTGCTGGTAGGCAAGCCTCTCAGAATTTGAACTCCATCTAAGTCCAAAATTTACAAAGCCTATGTGGTTTAGCGAGAACCATTGGTGATAGGTGGATGGTTGGACTGGATGATCTTATAGGTCTTTTCCAACCTTAGTGATTCTGTGATTCTGTTGGAAACATGTCCATACAAAATATCCTGCAAATTATAGCAATATTGACAGTGGACTGTGCTTCACGATTCCTGGAGATCTGTTCTTCTGACATAAATGAGTCTTCATTGCAAGAAACTTGCACCAGAGGCAACAGTTTCTGAGGTCACTGCACAGGAGACCCTAACTTCCCACAAATTATGCTAAATTTCAGAGACACGGGGAAATAGTTTGGAAAAGAGCAGAAAAAGGCAGAACGTACAGATGAAACCATTCTGACAGATACATATAAAAACATTAAAAGGCAGACTCGTATGTGTGTTTCTGTTTGGAGTCAACGGACTGATATGTAAATGTTCCTAAGGCAAATTGGTGGTCTAAAGATGGTGCAAGATTAACGGCTCCTCTGCATCTGTTTTCAGAAAAAGGGACTCGGGTCTATAAACGCAAATACATTTGAAGGTTCATCATCTCAGACGAACGTAAAATCTTTTTTAAGGATGAAGAAAACAAAACGCTTTTGGCAAAATCAAAAAAGAACAGCTTTTCCTTGCACCCACCCACAGGAACATGGGTCCATTTTCTTTCACTTCAGCACAAAATGGAGAACATTTGTCTGTGGCAGGAGGAGCAATGCTGCAGCGGGCTTGTCTTTCTTGCTTCATGTTCATACTGATACTGCGCTGCTATTTTTCACTCTGCAATCTTCTTTTGTTTTCCCCCCAAAGCGATGTCATTTTTATTATGCTATTTATATTCTTTCTTAATAAAAGTTCTGTGAAAAAGAAAAAAAGCTTCTTGCAAGATCCTATTCTACGTCTGCTTGAACATATGGGTGAAAGTCTTGAGATGA